CAAAATTTAAAGATCATGACTGCATCATCGATTTCGCTTAAGCATGTAGTACTTAAATCGGCCTGGAAGACCCAAAATTTTGATTACAAAAAAAAATTCATGATAATTGATCCTCATGTTTCGTGCGACCCGAACTTGTGTCATTTGTTGTTGTTACATAACATGTGCCATGTTCGGATTTTTTAGTTTAACTATGTCATCCGAGCCTTTGGGCGTTATTCTAGCCTATTTTAGTAAAGATTTACATAAAATTTTTTTTTACTCTTCAAAATTTTTTTTAATAATTTTAGCAGGCAAATTTGCCCGCTAAAACAGGACGGTTTAAGGGATAAAGAAGGATGACAGTATAAGTTTTATATTAGTTATCTGATCATGTATCTGATATATCTGAAATATCTGTTACTAAATCTTATTATTATTATTTCTAAAATCTATAGCTTAACCGGATCGGTAAAAAAATCATTTAGGCAAATTTTCACAGGTGTCTAGGAATTATTATTATGATAATAGCTGTAAATTATTGATCGATTATAACATAACTAATTATTTAGCCTATCCAAAAATAACTGACTAGTAGCCAATAGAAGCCGATTGAACTCAGCACTAATTAGAGGTTTTTTAATATTCAAATACTTTAGATTCATTTTTAACAACACCATGATAATAATAATTTTCAACTCTAAAAATGTTAAGTCATAACCAAGATTAGAACGAATTATTATATTGTTTCATTTTAATTCTAACAACTGTAAAAGTTGTGACAAGGTAAAATCATAGCTTGAGATAAAATTTTCTTAAAATAGAATATTAGATACATATATACTAGTATGCGGCACAGTTATTTCGTTCAATTTTGTACAAAGGCAGTTGTTCAATTTTGTATGAAGGCAGTTGTTCAATTTTGTATAATTCTTTTCAACTTCATTCAAATTTGTACAATTAATATATTTTTATATAGAGGACATAGTAAAAGTAGTTTAAATAGCAAACACAGCTCTCATATACGCAATAGTGGTCTAAAAGTATATAAGACCAAACTTTTCACTTTAATAAAAAGAACTTAGTGAAAGTTAGAGTTTGTAGAACTCATTAAAGGTTGACTCATAGAGAGTCTAGTATTCTGACTTGTCCAATTACCTCCTCCCCTGATAAAATTAAATTTGCATAGAGTTAGTAGTCTAAACCTGTGACATTAGAGTCTCGTGACATAATCAAGAGCTCTATTTGGCTCTAATAACTTAGTCCAAGTCTTCCACGCCTCTTTCATGCCTACTATTATTAGATTTGTGATAGAGTTTAGTAGTTTTAGAGTAGTGCTTAGATTAGTTTTAGTGTTGATTAATATCTGTATTGGCTATATTTCTTGAGCCAGGACCAGTTCTCATGCTTATAATTTGGTAGTGACTGTGAGATTCAGACAAACCTACTATTCTAATCAACCCGAAGCTGTGAGATTGAACTTCTCAAACTATCTGATCTAAATTTCTCTTAAATGTCCGAAACTGAGAGAACATAGCATTCGGAAAACTATCATAGCACAAAATGAATTTTTACTATGATTACTGAAATCAAGTATTTGCCGTAAGCCAGGTCAGATCATACCAATTCCTGAAAAAAATCGCTTTCTATGCAAGAAAGACTCTACCAAAAGTCCAAGAAAAGACTTGGAATCATAAACCGCTCCAAGAAGTCTTTAAAAAAATACCCGGGTGCTCTTATTGCAACTTACAAGAACATAATGTGTCTATGTGCTCAGAAGTAAAAAGGTTTGATGAAAAGTGCACTATAATTCTTAGAACACTAACCTCAGCACAAATCGAAGCAGTTCAAGAAATGATAAATGAAAATTTCAGTGATGGTCTTAATGCTGAGCAAGTTCCTAAAGCCCTGAAGCTTACATTGGAACTAGTAGAAGATATGATGAAAGATAAAAGCGAAGCTGAAGAAATTGTACACCTACCATTATATAAAAGTTTATGGTGAAAAATGGCTGACTCTAAAGTTTGATTAGCAAAGCCTCAACACAAAAAGGACTTTTTTAATGCTAATAACCAGGAAGTCTATAGTGTGAAAGAAACAAAAAAGAAGATAAGTAAGCTGGTATCTAATCCAATGTTAACTACTCACAAAATTACATTTGACTATAACCTACTGGGTTATGTTCAAAGTCAAGGGAAGAGCGAGCCAAGGAAATATAGCAATAAAAACCTAGTTATAAAGAATACTCACCAAGAAATTAAAGCTAAGAAGAAAAGTACAAAGCATCTACTTACTATCAAAAATCATCAAAGATAGATCCAGGTCCTGTTGATCAAAAACCTGTGCCAAAACCTTGCAGCCAAGATAGAACCGAAGACAAACATAAGTGAAATAGAGTTGGCTCGAAAAGAAGGAACCTCTGAATAAACTTAAAGCCTCTATTCATTATCTGAGTTTGCTGATATGGACAAAGATAAAATAAACCAAATTAGCAACAAAAGTTATAACCTTGAAAAAGAGGAACATAAGGCACTCATTTATTACCAACAATCAGCAAAGATGAATAATTCTAATAGAATTTATCAAGTTGGTTATTGTTATAATTTAGGTATTGGAGCTAAAACTGATAAGCAAAATTATGATACAAAGTCTGCTGATATAGGCAAATTAAACACTGATATAAAGGATAAAGAAATCCTTGAACAGCCTATAAAATCCACTGAAGTGAATAAATGCAACAGTAATATTAGAACTTGGTCTAATATTACCAAAGAACTTTCCTACTAGCAACCAACAGCAGATATGAAAAACATCCAAAGCACCAAAGCGAATGAAGAAGCCTCCAAGTTGGACAATAAACCTAATTATATAAAGGGAGCTCTAAGCTTGATTAACTGTTATATTGAAGAACCTGGAAATGTCAATAATGATGATGGCAATGAAACTTGGTATTTTTGCAATAATGAGATCCCTGAAGAGTGATTATGTCTAAGTGATTATAAAAAACTTAACGTAAAAAAAGAAGCTATATTTGACGAATGAAAGGGTAATCTGAATATAAAAAAGGAAGAACAGCAAAATGAACTTAAAGCATCTTTTTGTTGTCAAAAGTCTGTTGATATAGATAATATTGATGGATTAAGCTTTGATATGAATAAAAGAAAGGAACTCACATAGAATATGAAGTCTATTGAAGAAATCGAAGCCAGAAAGGATAAGACTAAAGTATCTGGTCTTAAAAAGCCCTCCAATAAGACTTCAGACTATAAATACTAGCATCAGGATGAAATTAGCACAGAAAAGAATGAACCCAAAGCATTCATTTATAATCAAAATTTTGATATTTATAGACCCAAAGCACTTGCATGGTATTCTTGTAACAATGAAATCCCAGCAGATTGGCTGTGTCTGGACAATTATGAAAAAGTTAAATTAAATTACCAGCCATGTGGAATTAAAGTTGAACAAGATGAATATCTAGCACCTACTAAGTTTCAGAAATCAACAAAGACGAATAAAACTAGCCAAATGTGCTATCATAAAATTAGCTATCACAACAAACTGAAAAGAAAAAGGGTCAATTATTTATTCACATGTAGATTTGCTGTATTTAGCCTCAGTATTAATCTATTGCTACTTCTATGTATACTTGTAATGCTAGAAACGTAAACAAACAAAGTTGTCATCAAAAAAAGTTCAAAGTCGAAAAGGACGAAAATAATATAGGTATCTATTACCAAATATCTACTGAAATGGGAAATGCTGACACAATAAATATAATTGGATATTGCTACGAATATGGAATTGGAATCGAAAAAGATGGGGAAAAGCATTCACGCATTATCAAAAATCAACAGAATTGAATAACTCCAATAGAATCTATCAAGTTGGCTATAACTTCGGAATTAGCGTCAAAATCGATAAGCAGAAAGCATTTATGTCTGCATGGTGTCTATTATGTAACCTACTACAACAACAAGGTAGACAATTGGAAATAAATATATTGATGATTGTATGAAGATGTTCTAACTTAAAGCCTGGAAATATAAAAATATGATTAAATAAATTTAGTTTAATAGATTATCTAATACTACAGAAATTGGTAACGGAGAATTTGCAACTGTATATTATACGTATTGGTTCTATAGAATTTATATGCGTGATGCAATATTGCACTCAATGTAATTTATGCCTCAAACAAAAATAAGCAAGAATTTGTCCAAGAATCGAAGAATTACTATGAAATTGGTTATGAAAATCCTTCACTCTTGAATTATTTTGGCGTATCGAGAATAAATATGATGATTCTATTATTATGGAGGATGTATTTGTATATTTAAAAAAATTGGATAATGAAGAACAATGACAAACCAAGTCTCAAACATTATTAATGACTTTGGCATCGAAATTAGGAATCATAACAAGACTCAAAGAATAAGATCAAACCCGAAATTGAAGCAAAGAAAAATTTGCTGATATAAATAGGTCAATAAAAATTGATCCAAATAATCTGAAAACATTTGAATAGTATTAAAAAAATACTGAAGATAATTCAAAGAGACAATACAAACCTGAACCTTACTATCAAGGCAATCTAGTCACTGCAAAAAGAAATATTCAAAACTGACTAGTATAATTGATCAAAATGTGATCAAATGCCAATTAACGTATTGTGAATAGAAAGAAGCACCAAGTCGGAAAATTGAACTAATAAAAGACATTAAATGGACATGATGATGAAGAATAGTATGGCAGGTCATGACAGTTATGTGCAAGTGTGGGGCACACAACAGAAAGTGAATAACCTCAAAAGTATTCACAGAAGATATAATCACAGAAAAGAGTTAGGGACAGAAATAAGGAATGAAATATCTGCATTACCTGCTGGATAAGACTTAAGAGAAGCCCCAGAGAAATGTCAAAGTGTATCTATAAAAGAATCTCAAGGACAGTATTGGATATTGTTATCAAAATGGAATTGGTATTGAAAAGATGACATCGCCTAAGAAAGAAAAGGCCTACCCAAAGTAAAGAAATCCGATAGTAATTCCAATTCAGCCTAGGTAGTTGGTGGCCTAGCATGGTTAAAAAAGAGTTGATAATTATTTCTATTAAATTTAATTTAATTTATTTTATTTTATTTTATTTTATTTTTATTTTTATTTTTATTTTTTATTGTTTTTATTTTACTTTTCCTTTGTCTTTAGTTACTTGTAGTTTTCTCGTGGAACTCGAAATTAAGGTTGGAAGTTTGTGACAGGGTAAAATCATGGCTTGAGATAAAATTTTCTTAAAATAGAATATTAAATGCATATATACTAGTATGTGGCACAATTATTTTGTTCAATTTTGTATGAAGGCAGTCGTTCAATTTTGTATGAAAGCAGTCATTTAATTTTGCTCAACTTCATTCAAATTTGTACAATTAATATATTTTTATATAGAGAACATAGTAAAAGTAGTTTAAATAGCAAACACAGCCCTCATGTACGCAGTAGTGCAGTAGTGGTCTAAAAGTATATAAGACCAAACTTTTCACTTTAATAAAAAGAACTTAGTGAGAGTTAGAGTTAGTAGAACTCATTAAAGATCGACTCATAGAGAGTTTAGTATTCTGACTTGTCCAACTACTCCCCCTGATAAAATCAAATTCGCATAGAGATAGTAGTCTAAACCCGTGATATTAGAGTCTCGTGACGTAATCAAGAGCTCTATTTGGCTCTAATAACTCAGACCAAGTCTTCCACGCCTCTTTGGTGCCTACTGTTATTAGGGTTGCGATAGAGTTTAGTAGTTTTAGAGTAGTGCTTAGATTAGTTTTAATATTGATTAATATCTGTATTTGTCATTATGACAACCAACACCTCTTGTGTTGATAGTGCTAGGGCTAAGTACAATCACAGGTTACTCGATCGGGACTGGGTAATGTCAATGGCGTGATCGTTGATACATGAATTTAATTTATAGTTTATTTTAAATATTGTATAATGCGTATAACCGGGTAATCAAGTACCCGAATTGATAATCTAAATAAAAGAGTATCGATTCCTTTGGAATCGATAACAAGTTTTTTTGTGATAAATAACTCTCTTAGTGAATACACAACTTAGTATATACAGTAGTGTAGGTGGCAGTGCTGGTATGATACGCCAGTGCGCAAAGCGAGTGCTCTGACTAAGTGAATCGAGCTTGAAACCCCTATAAGTGCAAACATATATGACAGAAAGGACCTGGGTAGATCAAGGTTCTACTCGCTTTCTTCGTGAATAAAGCTGTGTTTAAAGAAACTCAGCAAGTGAAGTATAGCCAACGTGATCAAGTGAACATATATTTAACAAAAAAATATTAAAAAAAAAAAAAACAAAAACATTACATACCTAAGTGGCAAACAAAAGAAATGGAAGATAAAGACTTTTTCAAGTTGTTGGTTAAAAGGGTGACAGAAATTGTTGTAAAAGAGGTTACGAATAATTTAAATGCTACATGAACAAAATGACAAAGGCCTCAGCTGTGCTATGTGTGTCGACACCAAGAACACTTAGCTTATTCCTGCCCAGAACAAGCGAAACGTGAATGTCAGAAGCATGACATAGACGTACGATTTATGAAAATCAGTGACAATAAAAGAGGTAAAGAATACGAAAGAGTAAAAAGAAAAGGATGAATGAGAATACATCAAAGGGGAAAGTGATGCAAATGAAAAATGAAATCTTACCTGCAAAGGCCATCGGAAATATGGTTGAATCGAATGAACTAAAAGACGTTGGTGTTGATGTTGAAAAGAATGAACATAAAATGTTCATTAATAATCAAAAATCCGCTGATGTGGGCAATACTAATGAAACAATTGAAGTTGAACATCATTATCAAGATGAACCAATAGTAGTGATAGAAGCATTGTTGGATAAAGTTACAAAAATAGATACTATGATGAAAAACTTACTAGAATCGTTGACATTCAATAATGAAGATGGATCGAAAGATGATCTTAAAATGAAAGTGGGGATTGATAACAATAATAACGATATGAATGATGATGTGAAAACTGATATTAATGCTAAAGCAGCACTGAATAGGACAATGATATCTACGATTGTAAATAACAAAATGACAATAAGAAAAGAAATGGTCTATGCAAAGTTGATCGGATATCAGAATCGATCAAAACCACAAAAATCTTGTGATAACTGGGATTCAACATGAATATTGAATGTGTTGGACCAAATGAGGAATAGAGGATTCTACAATCATATCTACTTGGATTATATGATCGGCTGCGATGGTGTGGAGCATGCAATGTTTGGAAATCGAATCAACATGTGTTTGTGTTGGAAATAGTAAAAAAAAAAACTTTTATTTGTGTATGTGTTTGTGCATATGGGATCCCCACAGCAAAAGGAGGCAGTGGGACGACCAATCAGATTTTGAGATTTTATGCAGATCACCTGCTCATGTGTCTCACCATTATAAGAATAGTTTTTTTTTACCAAATGCATTAGTAAATTATATACGAATTCAAATTTTTTTCTTTGTTATCATTATAGTAAAAATTGATTTATATACTATGTAATTATGTATTGATCTACAATAATTCTTATTAGCATCTCTAATATTAACGTTAATACTATAATAACTATACGTATAAGTGCATGC